CAGCCATTGTGCTTTAAGAACCTGCTCCAAAATACAGTGGTGCAAGTACTTCTCACATTCTATTGCTATTTTTCAAGCTGTTACTTGTTAAAGTCCTTCAAGCACTTAAAATGTACTATTAATGGCATGAAAAAGAATATCTGTCTTTTTTTTGCCTTATTCTTGGAAAAAGTTCAATGCGGTGTCTGGATTATTTGGGGTTTTGGTGGCTTTTTTTCCCAGTAAAATTTACAGCAAGGAAACTGGGCAATATTTCTGTATGGTAAGCAAAACAAGCCAAAGGCAAGCTGCAGCACTATGCCATGCCGTGGGAGTACATGCCACTTGAAGTCTGCATCCTCCCTCAGGACCTGGGAAGGATTTGGGAAGTGATGGGAAACCAAACCCCATTAACACTGAAGTTGCTTTATTTCAAAAGAACAATCATTTCTAAAGTGAGCCTGCATCACAAAGACATGCCATTCACGAACATAAGTTCAAATTTTACCAGACATTTATGGAAGAATAATATCTGTTACTGCTAATACAACACAGTCCAAAATGAATATTCAGCTACAGTTCAGAAGCCAGAGTTAAAAAAGCAGGGTATTTTAATAATGAACAATAACAGTACGGTAGACGTATGGCACAGACATGCTAAGGACATATAGAAGTCAGAGTGATCTTCTGCCACAGATCTTGACAATGAATAGAAAATGTCAAAGCTATCAGACTGATTAGTACGTTCTTCTCAAAGAGGTAACACCACAAGCAGCACAACAGAAGAAATACCATTCTAAACTCCTTGGACCCATCCATTATTAAGCAGGCAACAGCAGAACAGCTGCTCTGAAGAGCAGCAGCAAACAGCAAGATGCAAAGAGATGAACTTGATGTAAGCATGAGCAATTTCTTATTTTTATTAGAAAGGGTAAATCAAAGATGAGAAAGAATTTTGACTGGTAACATGTGCAAAACAGAATTGGCTGCAATGGTTTATTAACATTTAACGCGGCCTCGCTTCTTGTTGACAAAATGTGGGGTAAAATCCAATCCTTATTCTAACAGAATGGAACTGATCTCTTGAGCCTGTTCTTAGCTTTTGAGGTGCAGATAAAACACAGGCATCACCTGTGTTTGGTAGGTACCACCTAGAGACGTGCTGATAACTGATTTGTTACACAGTGTTATTTGTTAATACTTTCGGTGTTTATCCATAATCCTTTCCTTCACCTTTGATAGTTTAATTATTGCACTATTTTAATACTTCTGTAATATAGAAGTAGCATTTTGAATCTTATAAACAAGTAAAACTAAAAGGTGATTATGCGAGCTCTATTTCCCTAACAGTTTTAATCGTTCTTTTTGCCTGTCATGACTTCTGATGCCATAAAAATTCATACTTTGCTCTCTATTGACAAAGTTGCCAACCTTACATAAAGTTTTCTCTGAAAATAGCCTTTGCATTTTTGTAAAAACAGATCTTTAGGAAAAACATGACTTGAGCAGAAGAACAAAGAAAAAGCACTGAAGTTTATGCACCGATAAAAAGAATAGCCTGTTTCATAAACTAAAATATAACCATCAAGGTAGCACAGAAATTACACCAAAACCTTATTTTTACCTGTCCTTTAATACCCTTGTCCTTCAAAGCCTTTATGTCATCATGAGTCAGTTTTTGAGACTTTCCATCGTCAACTATGTTACGATTATCTGTACCTGCTTCTTTTGTTTCTAAAGGAAAAGGATATAGACTTGTAAAATCTAGCTGAGTATCTTTAAGTTGGAGAAACATATGATTTAGTTTCACAGAAAGCAGACTTCTCAGGATTAAACCCACATGCTTCACAGCCTTGCAAAGTATTGCCTAAGCAATCAATGAAATGTAATATGTAAAATACATTTTAGTATATATATTCACCCCAGCTATAGTTCAAATTTTCTCCCATATTAAAAAGCTGATTTGTTACAGGACTAGTGAAACAGCAGATCAAGACAAAACCATGCACTTTTATGACAGAAAGAATATAAGTAACGTTAACAAATGATTACTAGAAAGCTTTTCCATGATCTTTGATATTATGAAAGAAACAAATTAATTAGAACTCGTTTTTCCAAACACCAGTCAATCCTCTGTAATACCTGTGGTAGTCTCTTCCACCTCTTGCTTTGGCTGGAGGTTTCCACCACTGGTTACTTCAAATGTAGTTCCATAAATATGTCCGATGGCATTATCCAGATAGAACCACTGCTTCTCAAATATTATTTTTCTAAAATAATAAAAAAGTCAATATTAAATTCATTATTTTTACTATGTCTGAAACCCACAATGCTTGAAAGTAAACTATAGCTTCACACATGCCATTTTTATCTATATCCTTAAAGAAAACCAGGACAAGCATAAAGTGAATTACTAACTACTATTAACCACAAAACCACATTAAACTGAAACTGGTTAGGAAAAGAACAAAGAACTTAAATTGAGCATACAGTAAGAATTTTTTTTTCAGTTCAAAATAATTCTAAAATTAAGACAGAATAAGACAAAGAATGAAACTAATCTAAAGTACATTAAGTCTAGGCTGGGTCATGCAGATTAGCACAAAAAGATGAGCATGAACCTGTGTTTTGCAGAGCTCCTTTGCCAAAGGACTATGAAGAAAACAGACAGCAGAGAATGTCATGTAATCTCAGAGATGTTTGGGGGGGTGTGTGTGTGTGTGTAGGATTTTATTATCCCTTTCATTTTGATTGCCCTAAGGAAGGTTTGCATTTTTCCTTCTTCACACAAAAAAGACCCACAAAGCCTTTAACTTTCAGGCTGAGCTACAAAGGTTTCCTTGCTGACCAGAGAAACACTGATCTTGTCAAATGGAACAGGTACCAGTGTCTACGCCACACTCACATTTGAATCAAAACTTACCGATACAAGCTCTTATTATGCTAATTATGCTCATCACCAATTCTGATGCTAAGCAAAAAGGTTGAGTTCTCCATTATTTTCTACTGACTGAAGTATGAAGTTCATGCATAACTTTAAATATCATATTATTTATATCCCAAAATACAATCTAGAATTTACATGAAGCATAAGAATAAAAAGTTTTGTCGGACACATTACCAAACCCTCTTAATAAAAAACTAATGACATTATACTTTCTCACGTGAAGCCTACCAATTCCTGCCAACTCAGATTTTAAAAGACTAATAAATGATTATAGAACACTTGAAATAACTGAAAAGAATTTAGACAAATAGAAAATAGTGTGTGTGCACTCAGATTTCATTTTGATGACCATTCTAAACAGAATATCGAACTACAGTTATTGTCACATATTCTTGGAGTGTCCTCACCCTCATCAGATTATAGGAAAGGAAAAATTAACGCAAAAGTTATTTAATTTCCTGTGGCAATATTTACTCTTTGACTTTTTTATTCCTTCTTTCTTTTATGATAAGGGTTTTAAACAAAAAGTGAAGGGGGACCTAACAAACAGATTCTGGTAGTTCTCTGCAGGCTAACAGAATACCTGATTTTGGTGCCAGATTCTACCAGTGAACATTAAGCCTCTCAATACTCCCACATTCCTAGGTCTGAGCTATGCCATTTTTAAACCAGTCTCATTCAAGCATAGTACCTTTAAATCTCCATGCTACTGAATCAGATGTCTGGCCACATTACCCAACACTGACTTCTACACACTGGTCTATAAAATTGTCTGCTGCAATGGGAAGAGCCCAGGCTGTGTCCACTGATTACAGAATTTCCTGCTGGAGTGCAGGTGCTTCTTGCTATGCCAGCTGGCCTAGGAAAAAGAAATAGGAGACTTTTCATAGCACCTTCTCCAAAGCAGTGACCATCCAGAACTGACAGCTAGCGTCTTCCTACAGTCTAACACCAGTGAAGCCAATCCCTACTATTAAGAAGGCACTACTGCCTCTCGCAGAAATTACATGCCACAGTGGAGATTAAGTAAAATGAAGATACGCTTCTCAGGCTGCTGCGCCTTTTCTCCTATTCAATCGGCACCAGTTTGACAATGACAGCACGAAACCCGTATCAAATATCTTTCAAATTCTTACAAGACACGCAGCCAGGAAATCTTCCGTGGGCTTTTTTTTTTTTTTCTGTCATAGGAACCGAGGCAGCATTAAAATCATTCACGCTGCCTGCGACATGGGCCTAGCAAGGCCTTTATTTCTGACTGGCACGGCAGGAAAGCTGCGGGTCACATCGGCCGCATCAGGACCCCCCTTCCCTCAAGCGGGACCGCGCGACGACCGTTGGAATCGCCTCACAGGTGGGTGGGGGGAGGGGAAGGCGCAAACCTCTACCGAGGTGGGTGCGTGTGTGGGTGTGTAATGACAAGCGGGATCGAAAGCCCCAGACCGGTCCCCTCTCACCTCCGCCGCAGCACGGGTACCGCTTTGAAGACATCGTCCCGCTTCAGGACGGCGCAATCCCCCTCACAAATGCGCGGGCCCGGCCTCAGGCCGTCCTCCATCGCTGCTACGCCGCTCGTG